CCACTGCTTTCAGTCTGGGATAACTGCCAACCACTGTTTTGCGAAATGGAGTTTCCTTTCAACATGGCCTACCACTGTCTCATAACTGTTTCCCACTATCTTTCCTACTGTTTTATCACTGTTTACCACTATCAGGTCACTCTTTGTTAAAATCGTATGACTATTTACCACTGTCAAAAACTATCCTTTTTGAAAGGTGACTGTCGACCACTGTCAACCACTGTCTTGGTCATGGTTTACCTTGGTTGACATTGGATGTCACTGGATTTCTCCACCCCCAGTAGTACGTACGAAGTACATGTACTACCTGGAGCGTTCCTCAAACGTGTGAGCTTAAATCCAAAACGCCCCTATTTTAGGGGCAGATTTAGGGGCAGATTACCTTAGGGGCGGGTTTGGAAAACGCCCCTATTTTTAGGGGCGGTTTTGAATCCCTAAAATAGGGGTTTTGCCGATTTAGGGGCGGGTTGGAACGCCCCTAAATGGAAAGGGACTGAATGGTAAATTCATTGAAAACGCCCCTATTTAGGGGCGGGTTTGGAAAACGCCCCTATTTTTAGGGGCGGTTTCTGGAATCTGCCCCTAAAATAAGGGCGTTTTTGCCATTTAGGGGCGGGTTGGAATCTGCCCCTATTCGTTTTGTGATTTAGGGGCGGATTCCCGAAACGCCCCTATTTTAGAGGCAGATTTAAGACACTTGCACGACTGAGGAACGCTCCTGGTACATGTATGAGAGGAGCATTTATTTTGTCATGTTCGTCAGTCGAGTCGAGTCACACTTTTGCACAAGCACGACTCAATGTCACGAAGATACGGGCCTGGATCAACGACCCAATGCTCCTCACAAAATTCACGAACACGGTAGTCCCATCGACATGCGTGGTAGCAAAACTAGCTAGCTAGCTAGAACAAGATATCTTTCAGCAAACATACAATTACAATCATGGATGCTGTTACGGTACCGGTAGGCAAGGAATGGACTGAGCGGCTGTCGCGGATGGTATCGATATCGCTCATTTCCAAAGCCAAAAGAGACGTGCACCTTTCTACTCCGGCAAGCAAAGCTCACAAGTTTGGAAACCTTCTTCTTTATTTTGAACCTAAGCAATTGTATTCCAGTACAAAGATGAAGAA